TTTCGGGGAGGAATGCTGCTCCTTTTATTTACCTGTTCAGTGTTTAGTTTTAAGCTATTATTTAGTTCACTAATTGTATTTCACTGTGAGTGAAATTTTGTCATCAATCACCTACTTCTTCCTGATAAGCTATTGAGTTTAAATTTTGTACCCATACTGTTGATCAAAAACAATGCGATATGATAAGCGAGTTTTTAAAAATTCGATTTGGATTTTTACTCCAAAAGGCCATTTACTCTGAATCACTCTAAAGGGGCTTTCATCTGAATTCAGAGTCAATTCACTTTGAATGTCCATTTCACTTTTCAAACTGTTGCCACCAAATGTTATCACACTGAATTATATTTAAAGAAATTAAATAGTGAAGAATCTGCATAAATGTATGTTTCTCACATTGTGCTAAAACAACAGTGTTTAGAGCCATCAAATTTTGAATGACATAATCTTATTGTGAATATGGGCATCTGGAAACCCAAATTTGGAATTTGTTTTATTGATTTCATATTTTGGAATTAATTTATAATTTGATTTCATATTTTAGAAAACTTTAATAAATTTTTGATTAACAAACTTAGGGATTTCAAAGTGAGCAGTGGCAAAGTTGTACAGAAAACACATTTTTATCTCCAGCACGTGAGACTGTGTATCAGAAATTCTAAAGATATGCTCGATTTAAAATTATTTTGTGATATTGCTCTTGAACTGAGTTTTATGGTTTAATAATACCACACAAAATGTAAAAAAAAAAAAAAAAAAAAAAAAAAAAATGCCCCTTTGGATGTTATTTAAAATCTGAAACTTTCAGATTTTCTTTTCCCCCCTCTTTCTTTAAATTTAATGTTAGATTTTTCGCACATACCTTTGTATAATGAACAAAGTAAAAAATAGCAGAATTTTACTACTTGCATTATCCTATGCAATAGAAAAAGTCTTTTCAATGAAAATTGCAACTTAATTTCTGAATTTTAAGGGGGAATTTTAGGAAAATTGGTTGATTTTTTTTTTAGACTGCTTGACATTTGTTATTTTTAAATTTCAACATTTAAAATAGTATATCGGGTATAAAGTTTTGAAATTTTTACAGAGTATAAAATAAATTTTTTATCTTCTTTTTAAAACAAGAATTACAAAGTAATATCAGTTAAGTAATTTTCTACAGTTTTTTAAAAAATGTGTCATAGAAAAATTTGCTTATGAGTTTGCCATCGTGTGGTGCTCTTAATTTTTTATAAGCTTTTTTAATGATAATTTATAATTAAGGCAAAAAATACATTAAAAAATTTTTATATAGTTCTTATTTAAAATAATAAGGTAAGGCACTAAAAGTTGAAAAGTAATTTATTGTGTAGTTTAATAGAAAAAATAGATCAAATCTATTTACAAAATCCATTTGCAAATTTATATCATGAAAAATAAAGGTGGGGGGGGAATCTAAGTAATGAAATCTATTAATATAATTGCACTGTCAAATGTATAAGCCACTATATTTTTTAATTTATCATGGGTGCCCTATTCTTTAAGTGTTCATGATATAAAATTATAGATGAATTTTTTGACTAGAATTATTGTCTATTATTCCCATTAATGCTGTATGATAAATTAGTTTTCTTTTTTTTTTCGAAAATGTACTTTTATATGAATATAAAAAACTACTTTTATTCAAGTTTTGCTATTTATCAACACATTCATGATTGATTTATAAAAGAATTAAATAAATAATAAAAATATTTTTAAAATAAATTTTTGAGTTTTGGACAGGTGGAATCACACCTAATAGTTGGTGAAAGTAATGTGTGAGGCAAAAAAGGGTTGAGAACCACTGAGTATGGCATAGCTAACATAGCTTGTGATAATTTTATTTATTTTGCAGTAAAAGCAAGGAGGAATGAAAGTGTTAACTCAGTTGTTAATAAAAGTTTTTATTATACTATGTAGAGATGAACGTATGTCTGCATTTATTAAAATGTTTTGCCTTTTAAGTATATTTTTAGTAAACTAAATGGTGACTATGCTTATAATAATATATGAATAAAAATTTAATTTTGGTGTTAATTGCTTCATTTGGATTATGCATTGACTGTTATATATAAAACTATTTTGTTAAAAATTTATTTTATCTTTATAAAGTGTATCTCTGTTGGGGAAAGAAATACTTTTGCAAGAAACCATATACGTCGATTTCGTGAATTTGCTGAATAAAAAATTGCTTAAGTTCTGCAGATCACTATTATATTTCAACATCGTAATCGCACTTTGAATTCTGAACTTGATATTAGCTATAAAACTAGATATTTAACAGTTAGTTTTTAGTTCCTTCTTGTTTAATTTTAGGTAATAAGTAGAATTTTTAGTATGAATTCAGAGCATTGTGCCGTTGATTAACTCCTAAAAGATTCGTTTTGTTAATCTATAATAAACTAACTGTATTTTTGAGTTTCATTTTGTAAATTGAATAAGAGACTAAATTGCAGACATTCTTCAAAATTGTGTGTGTATTTTAGGAACGAAAATTCGTGTCACTAAAGCAGGCATGTTTCTATAAAATGTATTTCAATACATTTTTCGGATTTATAATTGTAAAAATGGGAAGAAATCGAAAATCGTGAGGATATCAAAGGAAGAAGTGTGTAACAGTGTTACAGCTGCTTTGCGTGTCAGGAACAAAGGCAAGAAAGGTGAACGAACCAATAAGCTTGTTCCACCAGTTATCTCCTCCCGTTCCGATTGGCGCGGTTTTCCCGTGTGTAGGGTCGCCATAATTGGCTAAGAATCCTATTTAATTTGATTTCTTTACATTTGTAGCATTATTTATTTCAAAGTGAAAAATATCAATTTTAAAGTAATGTGTTATGCTATTCTTAATATATTTAAAAGGAAATTCCGGTTTTCTTTTATGATTTTATGCCGAAAATTTAGCAAACTTTTGAGAAATTGCCGGAGGCGGGGGGAATTATTCCTTGTTTTTAGTCCAGAGGGTCAATTTGCCCTGAAGGACTATTATTTTAGTTTTGGCATTTTGCGTTGGTTCACTATAAATGTCCGATGCTTTTTTCATATTGTTGCCACCAAATATTATCGACCTATATTATATTAAAAAAATAATGAAGAATGCATAAATGTATGTATGTTTCCTCGCATTGTGATAAAACAACGGTACCTAGAGGCATCCAATTTTAAATAACTTACGTTTCTACATGAATATGGGCATCTGGAAGCCCAAATTTGGAATTTGTTTTATTATCTGTTTCATATTTTGTAAAACTTTTAACGCATTCTTGATTAACAAGCTCAATGATTTAAAAGCGAGCAATGGCAACACTGTACTGGGGCAAAAAAGAAAGGGGGAAAATTATCTCCAGCGCCCGTGGAATTGTGTATGGGAAATTCTATCATTTTAAAATTAATTTGGGATATTGCTTTTGAACTGAATTTTATGGTTTAAGTGCGAAGAACATATTTAACAAATAAAGGTAACGTACAAAACTTCAAAAAAAAAAAAAAAAAAAAAAAAAAAGGGCGCAGTGTAAAATCTGAAAGCTTTCCAAATTTTTTTTTGGGTGACATTTAGTGTTTCTTTTTGACGAAAAAGAAACGCTAGTGAGAGTTAAAAATGTAGCAGGCTTAGCATCACAAGAGGAAGGATTTTTCATCTTCCGTAGGTATTGCAGAAGAAAACTTTTCCTACCAGCAATGCTTGAGCGCACCTAGATCGGAGCGTCACAGACCGCTACGTTTATTGCTGCGGGCAAGTGGTTGCTGTCTCTCCTTCTCTTTTTATACATTTTATTTTCACTTTTCATGACTAGTGCCTTCCTGTTGTTGGATTCTTGTCCTTAGGGGTTGCATTTCTACTTTTAACAAAATGGCACGTGATGCAGTTTTGCGTATCATCAATATATTATTGTGTTAAGGGGCTAGTTATGTAAAATTGTTTCGCGTTTTTCATATTCCCCTCATCAAAAATTCTTTTTCTCAGAAGTTTCTAAGATTCGTATTGATGATCTAAAGTTTTATTTAATGAGATACTTTTAAGGACAGCTGACGAAAACTTCCGCATCCGAGTGTCGCCGAAGTGAGTCTTAAGGCCGCGATAGTTTAATCTGTGAGTCAGATTCCGTGCAGAATAGGCTGTCTGTCTATGGTTTTCACAATCTTTGACAGTTGTAATCCATTTGTCATTAAAATATTCCTTGCAAATGTATTCCTTTATAAGCAAATAGCTTTCCTGAGAACCAGTAACCTACCAAACATATGTATTACTTGATGCAGAAAATATAACTGGTTGGACTTAATAATGAATTTATTAAGTATCTTTTTTTTTCAAAAGAATATATACATGTATATATAGAAATAGCAAATAAGACTGTATATATAGTGGCTGAGAAATAACATTATTCTTTTATTGGAAACAGCATAAATCATATTTGTTTTCTGTAAGAAATATTGAAATTGTAACTTGTTAGAATTATAATTTTTTTAACAAGGTTAATTTTGGGAGAGTTTTTAGTTAAAGATCGTAATAATTAAGATATAAATAGCTTGTATATATAAAAATATTTATGCACATAGTATTATGCAAAATACAAAGTCAATAGTTAGGGGTTTGCTAAAATGTATATTGTATAAAAAAGGTCTGAATAGATTAAATTATTAAATAGATTATGTATAGGCAGTGTTTAGTTTCAAGTGAATGCAGTTTTTCAGTTTGTTTTTCTTCCTAGTAACTTGAATATATTTGAAGCTATTTAATATTAAAAGTATAACAGTTCAGGGGAGAATAAAGTAATAAACATAGATCATTCAGCCATCATCTGAAAAATTATGCATAATGTAATAGTATTTTTGTCAAATTTTTGATAAATCTAATAACTGTACAGAAAATGTGATATTAATGTATTATCAATATTGTGTGTTTAATTAAATCCATGAACTCATACAAGGTACTTTTGTATTGGATGTTTTGAATTAAAATTTCTAAAACATACTGTCTTCATTTTTAGGTTCGTGGAAATGAAAACTCAGAATTGGAAAGTGATTTCCAAGCACTGGCATTAGAAACAGGACATACATTAGAAGTATAGTTACCTCTTTACTAAAATTATAAACAATGTTTACTAAAATGGTATATTTTGTCATTTCCAGTTTGGTGCATCAGCCATTTTGCATATCTTTTTTTTCCCTGCCTGTTAATTATTATTTCTGAAATTATGACCTTTTGGATAAATTATTTAAAAAATAATGCACTTAAATTCATTTAAATATTTATGTTGGAAACAAGGATCAAAATAGACTTACGTCATTTTGATTAAGAGCCTAATTAAAGATAAGCCTCCAAGTGGCAGGGCCTTGAGGATCTGCTTATGAACAGTTAGTTGTATTTAAACAGCAGTTTTTTGGTAAATTTGTATAATTATTTTAGTTTCTGTTGTTAGAATGTTTGAAATTATTAAAAAAAAGCCATGACTGAATAAAGGCAGTTGTGCTGCTCAAGAAGTCGGTGTTCATGATCCTATTCAAACCTGATGTAAACTTGTTATCCACCTCAACCAAGAAAACATTTTATTGAATTTTATGTTGAGTTATTTGTATTCATAAAATTACTTTCTTTTAAATTGTAAAAATTACAACTGAACATGGAATATTGAAAATGGAGAGACTATTGGTTTTCAGTAGGATGAGAAAAAAGATGAAAGTGAGAAAATAATCTAGTCAGGAAACTTACATATTGCAGATGAGGAACATATAAATAAATAACAGTTTTTACTCATAGTACTTTAATGTAAGGAATGCATTGCATTAAAATAAAACTTTTTAATGCAGAAAGCATACACTGTCTTTCGGTTTTTGGATGAATTTTGCTTGTGCTGAAAGTGCATCTTTTGAAGACTTTGTCACAGTCTGCATTATTTTGTGCATAGAAAACATTTAAATTTTTTGTAAATGTTATGTTGGTAATTAATGCTTGATACTATATTTTGTTCATTCTTCTGCATCATTCTTTGTATTCCTTGTAGGTAGAAACTTGCTAACAGGGATAAACTAATGGAAATTAATACAAATAAACTTATTACAACTTGTGATAACATTCGGAAATTATGATCTTAATATTGCCTAAGCTAAGACATGTCTGAAAAATTTCATTACTTTGCCAATAATCTAGTAATGTATAGAGACAAGCTACAGCTGATAATAAAATAAGTACTTCAAAAAGTTTGTGGTGAAATATTGTATCAGGAGTTTAACAATTAGGTGAAATGTTAGTTTGACAGAATAATATATACATGTCTAAATATTATATGTATATATGAACTGGAATTTTTTACTGAAAATTTTTTTACTAGAATCAAGGTTTGATGATGAATTTCAAAGCAATTTATTATTATTAATTGCATTAACACACCTTAGGGTTATAAAAACTGTAATCAGAGTTTTTATCTGAAACTAATTTCTATCATAATTATTCTTTGCTTAATATTTTGCATTCACTACCAACACATCACAGGTCTTCAATTTCAGGTGATATATAGTACACTTATCTTTTGGCTCATGTTTTAATGGATGCAATTCTGAAATATTTCAATGCAATTCATTCTTGTATCAGTTTCCTTGAGATCATAAAACAATTACATGTCTGAGATGGGTATGGTTTTCTTAGCCAGGCATAGTCAGCGTTATCTTCATAGCAGTGCACCTCAATCAGTAGTAAAAATGTTGCAGATTAGATCTGAAGCAATGGTTGATGGATATTTTAAATACTAGTCATCTCTCTTGTTATAACAACCACATCACTTTTCTTCTTACTGTTCTTCTGTTTCATACTTTTAGCCAGATTTTTTTTTTTTTTTTCTGAAATTGTTTATAACGGCTTGCCTGATCATTAAAGTTATGTAGATTTCACCCTATTTGTCTGAAACTCTTATGTCATTCAGCTTTGTCTTTGAATTCATATTATTGTTGCAGGTGGCTGTTTTCTTACAACTGAAATGGCATAAGATGGCAGCTAATGATTCTTGCATGAAACTGTTAAATTCAGTCTAGTGGTCTAGTGTTCTAAATGATTTTGTTGTATTGGGGGGGGGACTAAAAATTTAACATTGGACAATAACCCTGATTGGAAAGTGTTTGGTGGCTTGGGGGGGGAAACCTGGTTTCATAATACCAAACTAAATTATTTATTATTAGACCTTAGTAAACATGTCATACTGGTAGAAAAACTCTCAAGAGTTGAAATTGAGGTTAAATATTACTAAACATTTTCATGAGGGGGATTTACATTTTCTATCTCATTATCTCTAAATTACACAGTTTTCTGTTATGATAACAATTATAGCTTTTGAATCTCAATTAGCATGGGTTCTGGAAATCATTTATACTAAATGTAGTTTGAGTGGTGTGGATGAAACAGTACTTATCTAGTCATGTTGACAATCAGTGAAATCACCAGCCCTCAAAGGGGCCATCAAATGAAAGACTGAAAGACTGTCCTTCATCTAAGGTAAAAACTGGTAGATCTGGGTAGGCTGGACTATATGATCCCTTAGGATAGAATTAGAAGAGGAATTTGTTCATCAAGAACTCATTGCAACCTATTCATGGCAGGCATTCCTATAAAGCAGTGGAGCTGTAATAAGACAGAGTCCAGGGAACTACTTATAGTTGCAGAAATAGTGGCAGGTGAGCCGATAAAAATGCTAGTGTTAATTAAGCTGAGGTGGACAGTCGGAACTAGGTCTTTATTATGTATAAGTATGCATTTTCTTTTTCCTTTGTATGTGCACCCATTGAAAGTGTTGCAGAAGTTGACAGCAATGAATACCAGACTAAATCTTTCTCTCTGGAGCTTGCCTTCAGGTTTTAAGGTTGGAGGCTGCTACATTCGAGAAGATGCTCCAAGAGAGCTAAAAATTTTCAGCACCCATGCCAAGAACATATCAGGAGAAAAATTTGTACTTCCTTCTCATTATTTTCCATTTTCTTATGTGTAATGCACCAGTTGCAGTTTAAACTTCACTTTACATGCACAAATTAGCAAACATTATAATTATCACCTCATTTTCCTGTACTGGAATTTGTAGTGGTGTCCTCTTTCTTTATACCAGTTTATGTACTTTCATCCTGAAATTCTGTTTGTTATTTTTTTAATCCAATCATATCTGAAAGGGCTTGGCTTATGTGCACATGTAATTTGCATAGATAATTTTTCTAGATCAACATTTGGCAACAAATGGTGTGGGAATATAATTGTTTCAGGAAAATTCGGTGAGGATTGTATTGGAGTGTATGTATATTACTTTAAATCTGGTGTGCATGCCTTAGAATTGAATTTTTTAAATTGCAGAAATGAAATTCCACCAGTTAAATTAAATTTTTAGAAGTCAGAATATTCATTGTGATTTTTTAACTGGTAAAAAAAATTAAAATACATTTATTCTGACGTATAAATTTTGAGATTTTTGTTCCAGATATAGCAGTTGTGTCTGATTTCTTAATTTTTTGTTCTTTACACTTTTGCTGTTTTGTTAAAGATTGTGTGTGTTCTAAATATATTATAATGTTACATTAGAACACACCAAAGAACAAATATTAAAGATACTAATAATTAGCTATGCATATTACAGTGATTCTTATCAGTAGTTATTAGTATCTTTAATATTTATACATGTTTTGTATTGATGGATGGTGTGAAGGTAGTCTGAAATTGAGGAAAGTGGAGGGACGAGGTGAAGGATCTTTTTTTTAGGTTTTTTTTTTTTTTTTTTTTTTAAAGTAAATTAGAATTATTTTATTTATAAATTCTTTTCACTTGCAGTATTCTCCAGCAACAAAAAAATTATGGGGTGTGGAAGATACTAAACCAGATGATGGTAAAGGTATATTGTTTGGTGACCAGTGGAGGGATGCGGCTTGGAGTACAGGCCATAACAGTGCATCAGGTATGTAATTTCTGTAATGCATATTATTCTATATTAAGTTTTGATATCTCTTTATTCTCGATCAGGTGTGTTCAGTATTAGGACTGTGGTAGACTATTAGAACAAAATAATATTTTTTATTTGTTGCAGCTGTCTTCCCTCTTCAGTTTCGTAGTCTGTATAAATGTCTATCTTATTTTTTACATTGCCTTTGACAAGAACATCCATGAAACTGAAAAATAAATATATTTTTATTAAATTTTAATTGAATAAATTTGCTTTTTGAGTAACAGATAGTTTTACCTTATGATTTATGAAAAAAAAATATTTACATTGTTCACTTTTTCTTTTTAATATTTAGTACTTTTTTTGTAAAAAAGGAGGTACAAATAAAATGTAGTTTAATTTAAAAATGTTAAGTAAAAACCTTCAATTCTTATTTTTCAGCATAATACTTTGAGTATTTGCACTGAACTTTTTAAATTGTGCAAAAACAGCTGCAAGATGGTTTGATGTAACTTAGAATTACATCTAAACTCACTTTTGCATAGAATTCAAAACAAATAAAAATAGTTAAAGCTTCTTACCTGCCAGACGAGATCAATTCAATCCATGATATTTTATCTAATTTTATCTATGTCACAAACAATACGTAACAAAGAAAACACTTCTAAATCCAGTTATGTGTAGTTCACACTTACAAAAATTATCGTTCAACACTATTTGCAGTTTTCATGGCAATGAATGTAACTTAAAAATAAGTCAGATGCACAGTGCCATCTGGTTCCTGTAGTTATAGTTTCTATGCACTGCCCACCCCCCTGCCTGAAGGACCAGGGGTTCATTCAAAATTCCCACTAATACGATTTTAAACAAAAAAGTTCTTATAATGAACTTAACTGTTTCAAACTTAGAAACCTATAAAAAAACTACACTTATTAACTATATAAACATTCACCTTTAAACAATATACAAAGTTACCTGTAACAAGGAATAACATGCATAGTAAATTGACAGTTTTTAAATTTCATACATGTTAACACTTTTATCACAGATCTGGAATAATCCTGTAACAATAGTACTAATCTGTACTATTGTTACAGGATTATAATATATTATGAAGATATAATAAATAAGTAAATTTATTCATGGATTTCGAGATTATATAAATGTTGCGTAGTTTGTTTAATGACTGATGTAGTTATTTAATTTCACAAGACCTTACTTTATCTGTCAAGAAATACTGCTACTCTTTCTAATTTCCAAAAATGCCTAAGTAACTTATCATTAGTTAATACAACATCATTAAATTCAGTAATTCATCCTATAGTCTTGACACAATAAAGAGATCTTAGCATCAAAAGATTACTTTTTTTTACATTTATTCCAAAACATAATTACCAATCTTTTTTTATAATTGAATCTTTTATATTAACTAAGTTAGAATCAAAATTAAGCCTGGCAGGAGGGAAACTATTCACTCTGTATCCCTAATAGCATATGCGCTGGAGTTAAAGGCATAGGTTCTTGTAATTAAGATTAAACATAAGTTAAAGGATGAGAAATAAGCTTGCTTTCAATTTCAGTAATTAGAGTTTCTAACTCGTCTCGAGATAAAGTAGTTTTACTTAAAGTTTTTTAGATTTAATCACAGATCTGATCAGTTTTTCGTAGAAGCCAACACACCACACACCTTTCTCAGCTATGTAGCACCATTGGATTTTGTGGGAGGCATAAATGTCTTTCACCGTTGGATCACTAATGACAATCCACAAGTTTTTGAGTTCAAGTACTGATCACTTAAAAGTTTTGGTGTTACCCGTCAAAATTTGAGAACACAAACCTCAACGAGCAATGAATCGTCGAAATGGAAAAAGTGTTTGTGTGGTTATGCTAACAAACTCTAAATGAAGAGCTTGCATTACTCTGCATGTAAACACGGAATGTAGTTTTTCTCTTCACTGTCTTTGGTATAAAGTGTTCCACCGAAATTAAGCGTACTACAGAAAAATGAGGTAACACTTCTGTTCAGTTAACTGGTAAAGGAGCAGTAACTTGCACACCAGGAGATGAACTGAATGATTTGCACAAAATATATTTTCTTAGGCTATTTTAAACAGAGTGCCTTCCTTTAGATATCCAGTATTTTTTGCATATTTCTATCAAAGTTTCAGAAATTACACCTTGAAATACTCTGCTGTGTGCATGCTACTCTAACAATTCATGAAGGAATGTTTTGCAGGCATAATAGTTGGATGTTTTAGCAGATAGGTAAATTTTGACTTCTGGAGTCTTCCACGTACATTATCCTGTTCTCATTAAGAAAGGGATTCAGTTTCAAAATAGACAAAATCTTTAAAATTGTTTTGCCCTTTCTTAAGCAGGACTGCTCTTTAGCAAAAACTTCTCTTTGAACAGTTTTTATCCAAATCATTTCAGCATCATTAAGTTCTTCAGTGCTTAATTCTTTACATCTCTTGTTTTTATTTCTAATGCTGTATATGAATTGGAGTACCAACTGGTAACACGATAAATTTTCTCAAACTGCTATATTTATTCATAACTAGTCGGATCCGGCTGAACTTCCCACATAAACGATGATGTTTCTTCCAATTTAGTTCTATTTTTGTAATGGACTTCTGGAGAAATTTCATAATTAGAACCCTCTAGCAACACGTTTTTCTTCCGCCGAAGCTATTCCGGACCTTGCAGCAAATCGGATTAGACATAAATTTTCCACAATTGTTCCTTGAGACATGTAATCTGCATAATTATTCTTGCCTTTACAATGATGCCAGTTAGCGGGATCAGTTCTAGACTGGATTTTTGGGTACTCAGTTTGATACAAAAAGTTTCCATTTTGAAGCTTTCCCTTTAATCCAATGAAGAGTGATTAAGGAATCACTCCACAAATATTTGTTAGAGACAGGAAATTTGAAATTTGTTTTCAAATATTGGAAAGGTCTAGAAGCAATAACAGCTGCCATTAACTCAAGCCTTGGTAGTGTCACCCCCTTCAGTAGATTTCATAGTGGTAAAACTCGTGTAAATTCAATCACACTTAACATATAATGAAAGTATGCAACTCTTCCAAGAGCTTCAGGAATAGTGTTGGAAAATATATGCAGTTCTATTTGTTTTATTAAATTCAGTGGAAAGAAGAAATTCTTTCTTTCAAAAGATGAATCAGAGAGCACCAGTGTAATTTTTTTTTCAAGTTTCAGTGCAATTGATCGTTCATCATCCCATCCTAATTCAAATTCCCATATTTCTTGCATTAATAATTTTATGAGAACAATAAAAGGATGAAGCAGTTCCCACAAGATCAAACAACTTCAGTGCCATTTGAAATAGACTGTATTTTGAATTCTTCAAATCACCATCCATGTCAAGAAGGGGTTTCACATCTATTTAAATGTATCTTCTTCCATGTTCCATATTAAGCCTAACACCTTCAAAAAACGTTCGTTAGCTTCTTTCACATCAGACATACATCATTCGTGCCATAAATTTCTCAACTCATCTGAGTTAGTTTTAAACTTTCTTAAATTCATTTTCTCATCTTTAAGAATTTTTACAATGCTCTTTGAAAATTCTAAAGCTTTATTGTATTTACTCCATAAAAAAGATCATCCACATAAAGTGCCAAGTTAAGCATTTCTAAAGTTCCATTTTTTTCATGTTTATATTTTCGTTTGTTGTATTTAATAGGTGCAGATGGGATAAACGAGCTTGATATCACTCCAAAGGGTGCAAAAAATTTGCAAGGTGTGATGTAACTTACAATTACATCTAAAATCACTTTTGCATAAAATTCTATACAATAACCAAAACGAATAAAATAGTTAAAGCTTCTTGCCTGTCAGACGAGATCAATTCATTCCAAGATGTTTGATCTATTTCTATTTACGGCACAAACAATCCATGACAAAGAAGAAAACACTTATAAATCCATGTATAGATAGTTTGCACTTAATCGTGCAATACTATTTGCAGTTTTCATTGCATTGAAATAAAATCGGAAAGAAATTAGATGCACAGCGTCATCTGGCTTCTGTAATTATAGTTTCTAATACATGGTGTGCTTCTTGCAGCATATCTTAGTAATATATTGCTTTCTGCTAAATTCAGATGTATTTGTTAGTTGTTCAGTAATAATTAGTTCTGTGAGATGCATAAGCAGCTCGGATTAGTGAAAAAATTAAACATGAGGGAGCTGGAGAAACAATGTATGTGTTGTAAAATTTTGTTTAAAAGTAAGGAAAACTTTCAACAGAAACTTTTCAGATGCTTAACTAAGTATTCAGAGATGACTGTGTGAGCTGAATGCTGTACTGTGATTAGTTTCAACATTTTATAAAGAGAGCAGAAGTTCGATTTCCAAAGATCCTAAAATTGATCAATCTTCCGCATCAACAAACCACCAACATGTTCATAGTGCACCATAAATTTGTGCTGCTTAGTCAGAGTAAACAAGATAATGTTAACGTGTTTGAGGGGTGCTGTACATGGAAAGACCTGAACTGTGGGGGAATCTGTTATGGAATCCTGCTCATGCATGTTACAATTATTTGACAAAACATTGCTCTTCCATCGTGCTCCATGAACCCTATTCTCTGAACTTGGGCCCAGCAGACTTTTTCTTTGTCTAAAACTTTAAAGCCATTTCGAAAGAACATCGTTTCCATTTCATTGAGGAGATTCAGGAAAAGGTACTGCATGCCCTCCCCCCCCAAAAAAAAGGTTTAATGCTGGTGTTCGAAAAGTGGAAGAAGCAGTTGCAATGGTGTTTGATACTAGAGGGAGTACTTTGAAGGGGATAGTAGTTGAAAGTTTGTACAAAGTGTAATAAAGCAAGAACATGAAACGTTGTCTTTTCTTTTTTTTTAGATCATGTACAGGAAGTTAATAGCATTTCTCCAAGGGGGGAAAAAATTAAATTCTTTGCTTCAAGAAAATTCTGAAATTTGATTATTTAGAGAACCTCCTATAACAAATACCCAAATTGAACTTCAAGAAATTATGTAGAATATGCTTGAAAGTACAATGCAAAGTCTAATAATACATACATGTTAAGTGCTTCTCTTGCAACACAGAATTTTAAATTTAAACTTGGTACAGAAAATGACACCATATATTAGGGGATCAATTAATTAATTGTATTATGTTTTTAAAAGAGGTATAATTAAAATGAATTGTGTTTTTGCAGTTCGAAGTAGTTTGGAATGCAGATTTTCTGATCCACAATCAACTTTCAATTTCACCACATCCAAGAACTCTAGCTTCACCATATACCAGGTGGAAGAAAAATAACATGCTTATTTTGACATATGAACACAGAAATAAAATAAAAACATTTGCTAGCACGTACAGATCAAGGATGAGTTGAGTCTCAAATGATGTTTCAATGGAAAGGGAATGCTTTGTGATAATGATGTTCCATTAAAACCATTTAATTGTAGGTAGAACATTAAGTGATGTTCATGCAGTGGCATACCTGTCATAGTCATAAGGTGTAAAAGTCATTAGCTTCATTCACATCTGTGGAAAGGATTAAATCTGTAGCACAATCAAGGAAGGTAAATACAGGTGTTGGACAAAAATATAGAAACACTGAAATAGAATATATTGCTGTGACTAATATGGTGTAGGGAAATTGTTGACATTCAAATACAGCTTGCAGTCTTTTCGGAATGGATAAATAGAGGTCTTGTATTCTATGCAAGGGAATCTTGTACCATTCTTCCTGTAAAATGTGGCAAGTTCAGTAGTTCAGTTAACAATGATGGTGGTGGATAGCGTTTATGCAGATTTTTCTCCAAAGTAGCCCACAGAGGCTCAATAGTATTGACATCCGGTGACTGGTTTCCATGGTAGATGCAAAAGTTACCCTCATGCCCAGAAAACCAGTCTTGTACAGTGTGAGCTGAGTGAACAACTCTGTAGTCTTGGAATACAGTATCACCATTGGGGAACAAAATTTGTACCATGGGATAGATGTGATCAGTCAGAATAGTCACATAATCCTTGGGTCCCATAGAATACCACAATATGGCTGTCCAAACCGACACCAAACCCCCATCATGTTTCTCTTTGCAGCAGACAGTCTCTGTCGTATGCTTGGGCCGGATTCACCAAATGTTGACTCGCCCAGAAGTCAGAAACAGTGTGAGGCAAGTCTCATCCTACCAAATGACAGTCTGCCATTGCTCTACAGTTCAGGTTTTATGTGTTTGGCACCATTTTTTCCTCTTTCACTTTAATCACTGATGAAAGGCTGAATTGCAGTTCTGCCTAAAGTATTGCTGCTGGTGGAGCTCCCTTCATATTGTTTTCCTGCTGACAGGGTCTGTGAGTGTGACATTTAGTTCAGCAGCCATATTCGTGGCTGTGGTCCTCTTATTTTTCATCACAATCTTCTACATTGATTATCTGTCATGATCACTCGACACATTTTTGTCCCCACTGTGGTTTATCTAATGAGATTTTCCCTGTTTTCCTGTATGAGTTAAAAACCTTAGAAACTGTGTCTGTCTCTTGAAACACCTGACACTTCAGCTACTTTAGTTAACTTTACAGAACACCATTTTGAGAACTAATGACACTTGCAACATATTGAGCATGTGTTTGTACGGGTAGTGTTACTGGGCAAACACATCAGCACCACCAACAGCTTTTGCAAGCATAAACATTTCAGTTTAAACATGCATTTTATGAGGTATTTCCATACATTTGGCCAGCCCTTGTATGTGAACATCCAACTGATGTCAGTCCATGTTTGCTTAGTTGTGATTGGTTGATTCTATACCAAGTTAGTATTCAGTAGGAACATGTATTTAAAATCTTTATACTGGTTTCTCAAACATAGCAGCGGGTAGTTGCCAGTAGAAAAAGTGTGACTTATGCTACTTGTGACCATAGCCCATGTCTGAATACTTCTTATGGCTTTGAAATGCCTATTGTGAAGTAACTGACTGATTCATTACTTTTTCTCATCTTTTAAAATTAATTTTACATTATTTGTTACATGTATTTTCATAGTTTTACATATGACATATGTTTGTATTTACATTTTCAAGTTAGTCTTCGATTTTAGCATTTTATAATGCTTTATATATATATATTTCCTTTTAGATACAGGTGGGCTTGGAGTTAAAATGGTTGAATATGTACTTGGTAGCTCTCCAACGTCTAAAGACTTGGACAACCGCATGTCACGATTGCATCTTGGCATGGTAAGTCATTTATTTATTTAACTAATCATAGGATTAGTAAATTAGCAAAGAAGTTCTTGTTAATGGGCTGTTCTAAATTTATTTCATAAATGTCTTTGGATACATCTTATGTATTATAACTATTTTAAAAGTATAAAATATTTAGTTTAAATAATATTAATTTAGAGTGTAGATTCTAGTATGCTTAACTATCATAAAATGTGGTCAGATCTACCTAAGTGTGATCCATGCAAATTCTCACACAGGCTTGAAGATGAACACAACCAGGGAAGGGTGTAAAAGATCCTTTTATTGAGTGAAAAATATTTAACAGTTTGCACAGACTTATTTGCCTGTCCCCCCCCCCCCCCCGAAAAAAAACCTGAAGTAAGAACTTGAAAGATAATGTAATACTAAATCCGTCCCTCCAAAAAAACCGAGGTAAGAACTTAAAAGATAATGTAATAGTAAATTTAAAGATAAAGAGTAGTGCACAATTACAGGTAACAGGCCGTCAAGTGATGTTTCTGAGTCACTTGACGGCAAAAATGCGTACCTGCTATTAAGATTAACAGCTGGTTAACGCTAACAAAAGTGTGCTCTCAGAATAGCAAAATCATGCTCTGTATAAACTCTTCATTCAACAGTTTCACTACTGTAGTTCACCCTACTTCATTTACATCCTGGTGAGAAAATGCAAAGAGAAATAAGGTAATTCTGGAAAGGCACAGAAAATAAAATAACTGTGAGTAAAAATAAATGAAAGCCCATAAGAGTTTTGTTTGGTGTTTACTTGAAGTGAAATTTAATTTTCCCCCTTTTTCTCTAGAATTCAAATGACCCATCGGAGAAATTAAAAAAGCTGAAATCTCTGTCTTTTGATGGTGATATGAAAGGAAAAGAACAAGAAAACAGTGGTGTAATTCACCAGTCTAATGGGATTATGCAGAATGGACTAAGTGATGACAATGGTTACCAGTATGTATTAATTCTTATGAGATTTAAATATAAATGTTCTTTGAAAGGTATCCCTTATTTTATAGTGTTTTCTTTCACAAGTGCAACATTTTGTAAATAGTTTTATGATATGTCTTAGATTCCATAGGATATTTCTTAATTACTGTACTTATTAAGCTTTATTGAGTGTCTTGTGAAATTTTCTAATTATACAGTTTATGCCATTAAGAAAGACAATATAAAATGCTATTAAAGTATACTAGTGTGCTATACTAGGAGGTTAGATGTAAATTATTTTGAGACAGGCTGTGTCAAACTATAATTACCTGTAGCTATGTTTTGCGTACTCTTTGCCTAGTTTCATAAAGATAATGAAAAGTGATTTTCAAAATTTTCCTTAACTTTAGTTATTTTCCTTTTTGATTCATCAAAGAATTCATATCAATATTATATGACAGTAAGTAGTGCAGTAAAATTATGCTTCCATTCTCAGCATTGTACTCCAGGGAATGAGCATAAAAATAACTAAATCTAAATCTAAAATGTATTAGATATGTTTTGCAAATGCTAGTCTGTGATGATTTCGAGCTGCTGCTAGACCTTCATAACACCAAGCACAGACTTTATATTATTAAATTAGCATTAATCAATAATAATTCAAATTATATTCACAAAATCACAGATAATAAGTTTTTCATCAACCAAAAACACACACTTTACGGCTCATTTCTTCATTGGGCTGTAACCCAAAATCTCATTTTATTTTCTGCTGCATATTACTAAAATGTATAATTCAAAATGAGAGTTCAGGTTTCATAATTTTTCAATTTAACAATTTTTCAGCTGTTTTGGAAGACAAACTGCAGTTTTTTAAGTGAAATTAGCATTTATGTATTTTATTAATCAATTTCTATGATTAGTTCCTATGATGTCTATCAACATTTTATTGTAAGGAAGAGACCTGGGAAACAGCACATTTTCTGAAGCCTAGTGTGCAGTTCTAGCCATGAAGTCAGACTAAAGTCTAAAATTCTAATTAAACTGTGTAATATTTATCTAATTGCCAAAGCCTTCTAGTGGTTTAATCTGTTATTTTAAAATAGTGCTTCGGGGTCATAATATAATATGTGATTTCATCTCTGCTGGCTCTGGAAGTGCTTATTTTAAAGTACTGGACTGTAGGTATTGAAGATGAAAGATCCAGGGCTAAAAAAATGAATATGTAACTAACATTTTTTGTGAAAATTTGTTCATAAAATGTCTCTTTGAAAGTGTAAACTTATTTTTTAAATATTTTAAAACAACTTATTCTTAATTTGTACTTTTTTGTTCAAATATTAATGTTAACTGATATTGCAGAAGTTGTTAATATCAAATGTGACATGCAGGTGAGAGCAATTGCCTGTTATGTTTAAATTAAAATGTTGTTAGGAAAACTTCATAATAAGAAATTAGAATCAGCTATTGTATTGTGTAATGTAGTTTTGTAAAGTATAGTAAATTATCCTGATTACAATAAAATCATGATGTAAAAAAATTAAATAGTATTTCTTTTATTAATAAATTGCTTTTTAAAATTTTTCTACATTAACTAGTTAAATTGTTAACATGCATTGAAGATTTTCAAGTAATTAAACCTGTAATTAAATGACATTAAAGAAGCACAATGCATACTTTAACCTGTAAATGAATATAATAATTCATAATTAGAGATATAAATTGCATGTTATGTTAATAATTTGTAGCATAAAGGCGTTAGTAATCTGCAGAATCACTTTAATCAGTTATAAACTTACATATTTACATGTTTAAAAAAGAGAGTTCTTGTATCTTTTATATAAATCAAAATAAGCACTTGGGAGTTAACCTGTTAACTGGGGAATAAGCTTTCAGTAAAATCGTTTCACAATGAGGACTTTTTCCTTTGCTGTAATTTCAGCACATTGCAAGGAATAAATAAAAGAAAATCGTTTTAAAATATTTAATGATATTTAATATTAAAATTAAGCATTTTTAATCCGGAAAAACAAATTAATTGAACGAATTTAAACAATTATTTCGTATGATATTCCCTAAAGCAATGCGGCATACATAAAGCAACACTGCAGTCGGGACACCAAAATCTCGATTCTTTCCTAAGACCTTTGGAATAGCATAATGTGCGTTCTCCTCGTTACATTTACTCTTGAAGGAGTCGGATGGTATATAGTCTGCAAAATGTCTTTCAAAAGAGTTGAGATGGTTTTGGTGTCAAAGATGATCGTCCTGTACTAGTAGATGGCAAACTGCGATCCATCTCTATATTTTTCAACACCTTTTTCTACAGTTTCGATAAGGAAATGAAGCCTATCTAGGTGACCACCATCTTTCTTGTATAAAAATATGCATTCAAACCCACCATGTCTAGTGCATGTAAAAATATCTTATAGTAATACTTTTTTACTTGGTTTCTAGCGATTTCATAAGTTTTCATTTGTCCGTAAGCAAGATCAACTCCTCCCATATTTTGTTGTAGTCAGCGATAACTTCCGGTTTTGATATCGGTTTCCTTCGTTTTTCTATTTCTACAAACTTATTGTCGTGGATAGTACTCAATATAATTAAATCCTTTTTGTCTTTCCACTTCGTAATCATTATTTTGTCTCTGTACCTAGCAATGTATGTTAATCTTTTTTCAAAACACAATTTTTTGATTATCAGATGGTATTCCCTTTCTATTTTTTCGCACTGTTCCTACAACATCGGTTTTTCTTCTGCACATCTTCTCAGCTAGATCAGTACCTAGTATACCAATTATCGAGATATAGCGTATATCCCTTATTCAACAAATCGTGGCACAATTCAAGAACAATACGATTTAGTCCCTGTTCTTCTGAATAGTTCGAACCATACTGCGTGTATTTACCTGTATATATAATGAAATTAATTATGTATCCGGATTTACTTTCACATATTTTGTACAATTTAACACCAAATCGACGTCTTTTCGATGGAATGTACTGTTTCCAAGACAGTCTTCCTTTCCATAGCAAAAGAGACTCATCTACAGATATTTCCTTATGTAATAAGGTGCTATGTATATGCTACGTAAATAATTAAAAATGTCTTTTTAATTTTTTCATAGTAAGTGTTTTCTCTATGTAATTGCAGATTATTCAAAATTCTCAGAATATGCATCAGTTTTCTCTGTAAAATTAATTTTACACTTTTTCCTTCTATTTTTTTTTTTCCAAAATATTTCTCTCTTTTCGCTGTTAGAGAATTGGTTAGGATAATTTTTCATTAGTATTTTTGACATTGCAGCATGGAAAGTTTAGCAGGATTTGAAGCGAAGATTTATAGACCCATGATTCTAGAAGATTCGAGAAATATGTGACAAAATAAAAAATGTCTCCATGGTATCAACACGTAATGGATGTATTTTACAGAAAGTTTGTGATGAATTTTTTACTTTTTGGAGAATGTCTGGAAGAACAGTGGAAACATAATATTTGAATGCTTTACTCCTAATACTAGAATCTTTTTCTTAACATGATTATCTTCCTTTATTTTCTCCACTTTTCACTAGACACAAGCATGGATAATATAAAAAATGCTTCTAATCTTATCACTTGGGTAGGCATTATAGAAAGAATTTTTTTTATTAATAAAGAAATTGAAAACTTGCAATTTAAACGATTCATCTAATACGTCTAAATGCATCGTACACAGAGCTGGTGCTAGGCATTTTCGAACCTGATGCAATCTCTGTGGATTCTAAATTCTGCTGCCTAGTGCCTTTCTACTGCTTCTAATGCCTGCTCTAAATTCTAAAAGTTTTGCCATTTTTAGATTTTGTTCTGTACGTCGCTAAATTCTAAAAATTCTGCCACACCAGCTCTATAACCGGCCTTTACCATATATATTTCTTCTGAATGTTCATGCTACTAAAGAAATAAAATTAGCCACTTTTTCTATACATTCTAAGTGCATTAAGTGTTTTTTAGAATAGCAAAAATCCTTAGTTCAATCCAAAAATTCTAAAATTAAAAGGAAACATTTTGAAGAAAGAAACTGAATACACAAAGAAAATTATTCTTCAAAGGTATAAGCAATTATTATTATGTAAATTATCCAATTGTTTATGAATTCAGCCTTTATTCTTCAAAGATATGTGCAATTATTATTATGTAAATTATCGAATTGTTTATGATTTCAGCCTTTTAATCTTCAATCATATGTGCAATTATTATTTTGTAATTTATCCAATTGTTTATGATTTCAGCCTGTACTATAACTTCCCATTTCTGTTTCCTCATATGATAGAGTTACTGAGCCAGATTAAATTAAAATTAAATTGTATAATCTTTGACCACTAGTCAATATTTTTAGTTTGAATTTGACTGTTCTTGTTTAATTACGTCAGTGTGAGCTATAATTGACGTTGTTAGTATCAGAATATGGCTTTATGTTCCAAGTTCTTTTAAATAAGAGGCTTATTTAAACCTTTGTCTGATATTGTAGTTACTTTCAGACACAGGGATAATTTGCTTCACGTCTATCGGGGGGGGGGGGGTTGAGACTATGTGCCTTTTACCAGATCAAATAAACCCTCATAGGTACATTGTAGAGAGGTTGACAAGTTAGGAGATAAAGCACGCAGAAACTAGCGAGATCGTTGGTTCGCATATTGAGACAAATTTCTAATTATTGTTAGAAAAGATGCTGAAAGAGAAGGAAATCGATATAAACAAGCCAAAATGTTTGCGAAGGCTTGTAGAGACATTAGGTATTTTTGAAAGCAGGAAAGATAAAAGATTAACAACGCCTTTGCCGGGAATTGCGAATCTCTGGAATACGGGCTCAGTGTGCAAACCACTACACCACGAAGCCTCACCAAGAAGGTAGGAGAAATACCTTATGTACTCCCCCTTTAAAAGGGTGTGCGGTTTTTAGAGAACTCAATCGCCAAATCCTGGGTGTGGAGAACCATCATCCAACACCCTTTTAGTTCGAGCACCACTGTAGAGATATTAGGTATT